ATTTTTCACCAGCCGCCACTGGTATAACACTGACAAATTAGTTACTATTTAGTTAGATGTCAGGTTGATTACCAAGTGCAAGAGACAATTATTTAGTAAATTTTATAAAATAGTTGCTTGCTTGCTTGCTTTTTTAAATGCTAAATGTGGCACATGCCAACGGAATTTCTGACTTTTAGAATGAGCCTAAATGCGACAGAGGAATAGTTCAACAGGATATGATGGTTGATGATGAGGAGTAGAATAAATGTATATGTGCTGCACAATGGTAGTCGTGTCTTATAATATCAATGAAAACACTCACATGCACATGAAAATTAGTCGGCCTAATCCTAAACATTCAGGGGTGGATGTGGAGGCCTTACCCAGGTATTTGATGGTGAATCCCCGTGGCGGATTGAGGGACCTCCGCATCCATCCCTCTCTCAGCACCTCCAGATGGTCCTCCTTCCCCTGTATCAACAGGACATGCTCGTCTATCCATCCAAGAAAGAAGGTCTCGGACACAGCCTCTGTAATCCGCTGGTTCCACACATGTTGCTGCGTATTTTCTGCTTTGAAATCAGCAAAAATCTCATAGCCGGTGTGGTGTCTCGGCAGCTCGTCACTCTCTGATACCCCGACCGCCTCCACAGCCCCGACCCTGGACAGAACTATAGCCAGGGAATGGGGAGCTATCTGCAGGAAAGACTCCATTGTCGCGTCGTCCTTCTAGCTGACTATTGAATGCAGTAATATCATTATATTTACCTATCTGAGACACCGTCAGACTCGATAGGAAGCAAACAGTCCATGTTAGCTAGCAGGGTGTGTAGCTACAAGCTACACTCTGCAGCAGCCGCATAACCTAAAACTGTGTTTCCATGCAGCTAGCAAGCTAGCTCCCTTGACTTACATGAAACCCATCCCGACACGTTTATGTTAGGCTGCGTCTTTTTCTTCGGTCGTAATATATTGACCTGTTTACAGTATTTACTGAAGACTCATGTCGAACGCTGTCCACCACAAACGAGAGATGACATTCGTCATGTTCGCAGTAATGTAAACCTTGCTGTTACGTTGGGTACCTTGAAATATAGATTGCTAGCTGGATGCTAACGTGATAATGAATTAACCTCGGCAACAGATGTGGCGAGTCCCCCGTCTCTCGTGGAACGCCTGTATCTTATCTCGAGAAGGCAAGATCTCTCCGACTGTGAATAATGTCCTGTCTCGCGCACGCTCCGGTGCGGTGCGCGAGAACCCAGCGGATACAGGACTGTTTTATTTGGGTGTTATGGCAGGCATCGTTACTGAGCTGCGTCAATGGAGAGTTAACAGGACTGAAAACACTTTCTTCCGGTCAAATTTTCAAATTAAGATTTTCAACGCAACAACTCCATTGGGAGCAAATACAGTTATAATTCACCACACGGGGTGCTTTTCATGGCAGGGAAGTTTATTATGGCACAACATCGGATTAGGCTACGGAGCCCCACCACCAATCCATTGAAAATTGGGTGATGTTAGGTATGACGTGTCACAAAACACAATTTTCAAAAAAAAAACTTTTATCTTTTGTTAATTTATTTTGTATAGTTGTAGGTTGACAGAGAAGATATTGAATTGTGTGAAGGTGTTTCTTATGGGGTTAAAACAGCGGCATTACATTTTGGCATCGAAAATAAAATGTGGCATTGAAAACGAAACCTGAACTGAAAAACATTGGCATTGAAACGCTTGTATTGGTTCCACTGAAAAAATATATTTTTTTATTATTTATTTTAGTGACATTCTTCTTTTTGTCATTATCACTAGTTTTCAGTTTCAACTTTCTCTTACCGTTTTTTGCTTTGAGGGGAGGGGTAAGGACGGTGTCATTTACATATCTGCATAGCTACTAAAGAGAAAACAGCACTCCTCTTCTGAACCCGAGGTCAGCCGCTCTGAAGCTTCTGATCACACACACAGCAATGGCCTCCAGATGTTCACCTAAAACTCCCAATGTTATGCTGATCTGGCCAAGGTCCATTGGAACAAGTGCAAATTTAGCTAATGTCAGCTATCACAGCTAATGTTAGCTAATAGCCTGTTGTCTGCTCGCTAACTTTAAATTCTATATGATTAAGATATGTAAGATATGTGTACTTGTACTGAATGGAAATATATAACCTGTGTATCTCAACAGACCTCCATTATTTTCAAAGTGTGACCCACCACTTGAGCTTGAGCAGAAAACTCAGTCCAGGTACAAAACTAGAGCTAAAATCAAGAAAACTGTGTTATGGATATCATGGATAAATATGAATGATAACCTGCTTTGGTTTGAGTTTCTAACCTAATTTAGCTGAGGGACACAAATTATGAACAGGCCCGGCCCTAACCAATT